TAGGATGGAGCTGGGGTTGGTTTGGAGGAGGCAGCCTCCACAATCAAAACCTTTCTTGGAAAGGCCCAATAAAATCATCGTAATAGCTCCTACTTAGCGAACACCTACTGTGGACCAGGCACTGGGCTAAGAGCTTACATGGATATGTTTTGTCTAATCCTTTCAAGAACTCAGTGCGGGAGGTTACTGACGAGGGACTGAAGCTGAGAGGAGAGTAATGTTTGGCACTAACTACTATATAGTGGAGCCAGTTTTTGAACTTGGTCTGTCTGACTCCGCAGCCCCTGCACCTGACCCTAGAGCAGTGGTTTTCAAAATGCACTCCATGGAACCCTAAGGGTTCACAGAAGCACTTCCTGCAGGGGTTGCCGTGGGATGGAGGGTGGTGGAGAAGGAAGTGGCCCAGCAGGCTGGGCTCCAGGCCCTTCCTTCCTTCCCCCAGAATGGCCATACTTTGATGTGATTTATGGACTGAGCTTCCATGGAAGATTAATTGGAAGAAAGGATTTCATGACCAAAAATGTTTGAAATCCGCATCATGCTGCCTCCCAGAACGAATGTGGATTATTGACCAGGGCTTCTTACACGCATTTCAAGGAAACACAGTTCCCTTTGGTGGACTTGCTAAGTAGTCTGGCTCAGGCTATGCCCCCTGACCTTCTGTACTGTCAGGCCACCCCTGTCCTAGCTTCTAGCCTCCAGGCCACAGTGTCTGGAGGGCTGCTCTCAGGGGGAACGGGACTGCCCCACGGACAGCAGGCCCAACACACTGACCAGCCTGAATTGGGTGAATTCCTGGGACAAGTTCACCATCAGGCACGGCCTCTAAACCCTTTTAGGAGACGCATGTATATGGATTACGGCGAAGAAGCCCTCAGATTGACCGGCCTAAGGAGGCCTCTCAGGATCTTGCTTGTATTAATTAGGACATAGATTCAGCTATTGTAACAAATGCTCAACTGATGAGGGACTTAGGCACGAGTTTATTCTTCTCCCACATGTAATAGTGCGAGTGTAAGTAAGCGGGGGTTGATGTGGTGTCTCTGTGGTGTCGGGGACACAGCTTCCCTCTATCTTGCTGCTCTCCCCTCTGCAACACGTGCCTTCTGTGCTGTGGTCCAAGATGCTTGCCCATTCCTACTGAGGACAGCTGTTCTGCTGGTCTAACATTGGCTGGACGTAGTCACGTAGCCCCACTCAGCTGTAAGGAGGGCTCAGGCACGTAGTCTTAGCTGGGTGGCCATGTGCCTAATGGAAACTAAAGGAAGAAGGAGAGAATGGTTATGGGGAAGCACTTATCCATCTCTGTCATGGGTGGACTTCCTCTATCAAAACTGTGGGTGTTGGCAGCAGCGTGAGCAGGGGCCTGCCGTAACAAATGGGAAGTGCCCCCAAGGTTGGGGGATTTCCACATGACTCGTGCCCTTGTCCCCTCCATGGTCAGTCAAGAAGCCGGCAGTGGGACGCTTGGGTGACTCAGTCCGTTAAGTGTCTGCTTTCAGCTCAGGTCATGATCCCGGGGTCCTGGGATCGAGTCCCACGTTGGGCTCCTCCTTGCTCAGCCGGGAGTCTGCTTCTCCCTCTCCCCCTCCCCCCCACTTGTGTGCTCTCTCTCTACTAAATAAATAAAATCTTAAAAAAAAAAAAAAAGAAGCCAGCAGTGATTGACTTTCTAGAAGAAAAACATGGCAGCCTGGGTGTTGTCAGGGAAAATTCTCCCAGAAATTGGGTTTCTCACTTCTCTCTAACCGTTCAGATTCCCACTGTCTGTGCTGGTGAAGGACTGTCTGGGGTCTCCCAGGAAGACCCTCTGATCACCCCATGAGCAAGTCTCTTCTGGTTAGTGCCCTTTTGGTTCTGAGGAGCTATTTGAGCTGTGTCAGGAGAAAGGTCTATAGTGAGGAGGTAGAGACCTACTATGGGATCTAAGGGCTGGAGATGACAGACAGCCTGATCTCAGGGTCCTGGAAAGCAGCCAGAAACCAGGGCTGCTTTCTTTCTCTCCAGGCCCACCTCTCTTTTTCACTCACCCAGCGTATATTCATCGAAGCCAAATACATGTAAGGTCTTCCTTCTCCTCTCTATGAACAAGCAGTCACACTTAGGACAATGCCTTGATAACACAGAGACACCCGTGTCCTGCACTTGCTGTCGGGCGGAGCCAGGGTTTCTCTTCCTTGCTTGGAAAGCGTCTCCCTCACCGGCTTCCGTTCCTCAAAGAAGAGCTTGAGGAGTCAGGGGACTTCCTCCTGTGTGCAGGACGTGCCAGCTTTGGAAGGCTTTCCACAGACTTGGATTCCCAGGGGAGGCAGCTGGTTCCTTCATAAGTGGCTTGTCAGTGCTGAGGGAAGATGCTGTCCTTGTCACCACCCCACATGTTCTCAGTACAACCTCAGGCCCCATCAGCTGTGGGATCCTCGTGACTGAACTAATTCAGCAGGCAGATCCTATCACCCACCATATGCCAGGTGCCAAGCCCTGGGCTAGGGAGGTGCTGGGGGTGAGAAGATGAACACGACATGGTCCCCTCAGCTCTGTGCCCCATAAAGGACCCACGCTGGTCCTTCTGATGCAAGAGAGTTTAACCAATGACTGAAAAGTGGCCCACATCCCCTTCCAGTCGGAGCAGTTACTTAAACACCCGAGAAACAACGGACAGAGGAAAAGCCTTTGCCTTTGAGTGAGACTGACCTGGTTTCAGAGGGGGCCTATGGGACACCTCCCCAGTCACTCCACCCTTTGCTCTCTTAGCTGAGGCAGCAGAAACACGTTAGCATCTGTTTGGGCTTCTCGAATGACCAGAGCGTGGCTTCTGCCAGGGGGCCCTCATTTCTGACGCTTGGAGGTTCGGCGAAAGATCTCACCGGGTGAGTCCCCGGAAGCAGGTGATAGAAACCAGACCCTTCTCCAAGCCTCCAAGCAGCCGTTTTTAAACACAGGTCTGCTCCGGTTCCCACGTGGGAGCTGCATTTGGGTGACTCCCACCATAGCTGCCCGTGTCTGTTCTCTGCGGTTGTCCTGCTTTGCTTGGTAACACGATCCCATTCTGGTCACCAGAATGCATGGTGGTAGCAGGGAAACAGCGGATAAGCAGGCCTTCCATGACTATGCTTTGTGACCGTTCACTCGTCAGCACATCCTCCAGCTGGGCATATCCTCTGTGCTTAACCCCCCATAGATAACCATAGATAAAGGCAGACCTCACCCGGGGGGGGATGTCTGGTCTTATAGGAGAGGACCGTGGGAGCCCCAGATGGCTTGTGAGCAGAGTGGTGTGGCCTTGCACGGGCTTTAGATTCGTCTGACAGCCGCACGGAGGGCGGGTGGAGGGGTGGGCGGTCTGGAGGCTGGAGGGGAGGAACCAGGTGGTGGCTGTGGGGAGAGCCCCCTCCCCTGCCACACCATCTTTCTTCTGCTCATCCTCCCCCCCAACCTGGCCCTGACCCCAGGTCCCCAGAGCGTGTCACTTGTCAGAAGAGCAGAGTCTGCCTCTTGGCGGGGGGAGAGAAGAGGCATCCTCCATCCCTGCTTGTGCTGTGCCCAGGGCAAGGGCTGGCTGGGCAGCTGACGGGTTGGCAGGGAGAACATGGTCTGCTCAGCTGTGTCCGCAGCCCCTGCCACTGGACAGCCTGATTAAGGACCCGCCGTGTCCAGGGCTCCTCACGGGCAGCAGCCCCATCTCTGCAGCCACGGCTCTGCCTCCTCCCCTATGGCTGGCGCTCCCACGTGGGCTGAAATGCTATGACATCGTCCCCCACTGGGGCTCTGCCACCCTTTCTGCTATTTCCTGTCCTCTTTTACATCCTGGCCCTACATGCTTCTGTGCAGGAGAGGCTTTACAGAATTATCTCCCAGCCTGCTGTGTTCTGGCTTGTTCTTTATCTGCATCGGGCTCATGGTAGAGGTTAGAAATGTCTCGAAGGAACCACTGCTGCTTCTCTCCTCTTTCTCAGCCCTCTGGTGACTGTCATGTCGGCCCCGAATTCTCCCTCTGCTTAAGGGTTTGTGTCTGTGTGTCCCACTTGCATAAGTCGTACCTCCTCCATCAGACTAGCAGCTTCCCAAGATCCAGGGTCTGCCTCCATCTTTATTTTTTATTTATCTCTTTATTACTTTTTTGAGGGGTGGGGAGGGGCAGAGGGAGAAGGAGAGAGAGAATCTTTAGCTTTATTTTTTTTTCAAGATCTTATTTATTTGACAGAGAGAGACACAGCGAGAGAGGGAACACAAGCGGGGGAGGGGGAAAGGGAGAAGCAGGCTCCCTGCTCAGTGGGCGGGGCTGCGGGGCTCCATCCCAGGACCCTGGGATCATGACCTGAGCTGAAGGCAGAGGCTTAACGACTGAGCCACCCAGGCGCCCCGAGGAGAGAGAGAATCTTAAGCAGGTTCCATACCCAGCAGAGCCCGATGCGGGACTCGGTCTTGCAACCCTGAATCATGATCTGAGCCGAAACCAAGAGTTGGACTCTTAACCAGCTGAGTCACCCAGGCACCCCTCTGCCTCCATCTTTAGACTGGTGGCTTCTAAGATCCAGTTTTTTCTTTTTTCTGAAGCAGGGTAACACTGGGCAGCGACCGTCTCCCCTTCGATCTGAGAGCTCCTTGAAGACAGGAGCGCTGTTTGGGGATGCCCTGTCTGTTTCTCGCTGATGCCCCAAGCTGAACTCTGCCCTGGATGCTCTCTGTGGATACTCAGGGGCTGCAGGGAAAGCCTCCTGGCCTATCTGGAAATGGCAGGGCTGAGCATGGGTACAGCAGGTGTGGATTTGGCTGGGGCCAGAGCTGTTGGGGCATGGCTGTGGGCCTGGTACTGAGCTACTATCTGGGGCCAAGGGGAACCCAGGACATCCAGGCTGAAATGAGCCCTCAAGGCCACAGGTCCTGCTCCAGGGAGGGCGGTGACTTCACATCAGAAGTCTATACGGGGAAGGGGCAGAGGATGGCTCCTGGCCAACCCGACTCCTCATACTTCCTGTGGTTTCTGTCTCGGGTGGGAGCAGGAGGACAACCACAACTACTATGTGTCCCGTCTGTATGGCCCCAGTGAGCCCCGAAGTCGGGAGCTGTGGGTGGACGTGGCCAAGGCCAACCAGAGCCAAGTGAAGGTCCACAGGATCCTCTCCAACACCCACCGGCAGGCTTCGGTGAGTATGCCGGTCCCTGGCAGCGCTGCCTTGGGCGGGGAGGCTGGGGGCCAGGGCATTCTGCCTGGTCAGTGGGCATGGTTGTGGCCTGAGGTCCGTAATCCGGGGGGTGCTTTCCAGGGAACCCTGGGGGGGCTGGCCAGAGTTAAGGTGCCCACCCCTGGTGCTGGGGGCCTGTCCTGGACATGCCCGCCCCCTGCCCTGTCCAGACAAGCATGGGGCAGTGTGGGTGGCCAGCTTCCTGGCCTACAGCTTGGCCCATGCTGATTCTCTCCCGTGCCCTGCAGAGAGTGGTCTTGTCCTTTGATTTTCCTTTCTACGGGCATCCTCTGCGGCAGATCACCATAGCAACTGGAGGTAAGGCTGTGTTGGTGGGACTGGGGGAGGTTTGGAGATCTCAGCCAGAACCCAAGGGACCTACCTGGGAAGGTTCACTGGAGACAGGGGTGTACAGATAGATGGTGGGGGGGTCCCACATTGGGTTCTCTTGGGACTCCAGTCTCAGGAGGGAGATGAGTGTGTGTGTTGGACCACCTCCGGCATGTTGGCTGACTTGCGTGTGTGTGTGTGTGTGTGTGTGTGTGTGTGTCCTTCCGGGCCAGCTCAGGCCAGTGTGGGCAATCCCTGTATTCCCTGTGCTCAGTCTGTGAATGAGAGGGAGGAGGAGACTTCACTGAGAGTCTGGCTCTTGGGATCAGGCTCCTTGTTGATACGAGGAGCCCATCTTAGATTCCTGTGCACTTTCCCAGGGACAGGGAGAGGTGGAATTCTATGCCCACCTGGAGGGGCAGGGAGAGCCTTCTCTGCTCTGGAGCCCTTTTGCTCCATACACAACAGACCCGGAGCCCAGCAGGTGGGGATGGGGAACAGAGGTCCAAGATTTGCCTCCAGCTCCATCTGTACCGTCCCTTCCTGCACAGGGAAGCAACTCCTCTAGGCCTTCTCTGGTGATTGCTCTGCCTTTATCCCCACCCCAGGCTTCATCTTCATGGGGGACACGATCCATCGGATGCTCACGGCGACTCAGTATGTGGCGCCTCTGATGGCCAACTTCAACCCTGGCTACTCCGAGAATTCGACAGTCGCTTACTTTGACAATGGTGAGACCAGATCTCAGAGTTTACGTCAACTGGCTCCAGGGATCACTTGGTCCAGCCCCTTTATTTATTTATTTTTTTAAGATTTTATTTATTTATTTATTTGAGAGAGAGAATGAGAGAGAGCGAGCATGAGAGGGGGGAGGGTCAGAGGGAGAAGCAGACACCCCGCTGAGCAGGGAGCCCGATGTGGGACTCAATCCAAGGACTCCAGGATCATGACCTGAGCCGAAGGCAGTCACTTAACCAACTGAGCCACCCAGGCACCCCTGGTCCAGCCCCTTTAGAGGAGCCCCAAGTCTAGAGAGGACAAGAGACTTGCCCACAGTCAAAAAGCAAGGCAGGCTGAGTTCAGTGTCCTCATCTCTAAGATGGGGACAGGATGCCTGAGACCGAGCAGGATCTGATGAGATAACAACAAAAAAGTGCTTGGCTCTTAGCAGAGGTGACCAACATTACAGACCTCGATTGTCTCTTACTCTCACCGGATTGTCCCTTGAGCACCCAGTCCCCGGCCACGCCTGCCTGGGGGCCCTCCTCCCTGCCCTGCCTCCCTGGCCAGCTAGGTCTCTGCTCTCCTCCCTAGGGACAGTCTTTATTGTTCAGTGGGACCACGTCTACCTCCAAGGCCGGGAGGACAGGGGCAGCTTCACTTTCCAGGCAGCTCTGTACCATGATGGCCGCATTGTATTTGGCTACAAAGAGGTGAGTGAGCTTAGCTGCGGAGATGGCTGGGTCTTGGAGTCTTCCATTCAGCAAATATCTGTAGAGAGCCTGCAAATGTGCCAGGCGTAGGCCTCGGTGCTAGGAATACAGCAGTTAATGAGATGGCCGGAGGCCCTGCCCTTGTAGGGCTATAGGTCTGGTTGGGGAGATAGATGGTAATTGCAGGGACAAATGTAGAATCACCACTGTGACAAGTGTTCCTAAGTAGAGGTGCCTGGTGCCAGGAGCGCCTTTCACAAGGCTTCTTTTTTTTTCTTCATGAGGCTTTTGACCTCAGCAGAGGTCAGGGGAGGCTTCCCTGAGGAAAAGAGTTGAAATCTGCAGGATGCATAGGACCTAAGGAAGCAATGAGGAGAGGGAGAAGCACGTTCAAAGGTCCTGTGGCAGGACAGAGCAGGGCTGGTTCAAAGCATTGAAAGAAGACAGCAACGCTGGAGGGGAGAGAGTGGGGGGCAAGTTAGGGCAGGGGAACACCCAGCTTTGCCCTTGAGAAAGGTCACTCTGGTTTCAGAGTGCGGAAAAGAGTGTTGGTGGCTCAGAGGGAAGGCTGCGGGATGGTTTCAGAGAGAGGTGTTGCCAGCTTGGAGTAGGGTGGGGTGAGATGGAGAGAACTGGACAGATTTAAGAGCCAGTGAGCAGGCAAATTAATAGGATTTGGAGATGTGTTAGGTGGGGGAAGGCGGAGATGGAAGAAAGGGTGTGACTCCCAGGTTTCTGGCCTGCACGAAGGTGCCATCCACTAAGAGCAAAGAAAAAAAGGAAATGTGCTGGAGATGGTGTGGGGGAGACTTGCAATTTGGGTGGGGGGTCATTGGATTTGGGATATATTTGAGTCCTCCAAGAGGTGCCGCACAGCAGGCGGATGCATCTGGAGCTCAGAGGGGAGGTCTAGGCTGACCCCACAGTGTTTAGGGAGGTAGATGGAGCCTCTTCTGCCCTGCTGCAGATCCCTATGTCCGTCCTGGAAATCAGCTCCTCCCAGCACCCCGTCAAAGCAGGCCTGTCAGACGCCTTCATGATTCTCAACCCTTCCCCGGATGTACCAGGTGAGTCCCTATGGATCCAGCGGAGCTCTCGATGGGCTTGGACTGAGCTCTGACTGAAGGCGGGTGGGGATTGGCAGTGGAGGGGCTGGATGGAGGACAGAGAGCTGAGCAGGAACTGAGGGAAGACGGAGCATAACGAGTTCCAACTTTTCTTCATTAAAGCAGAGGAACCCTTCCCCCCACCCCCCGATGAAATCTCCAGTGGGAGGTGCTGCTCTGGTTTTGGAGGGGAGAGAAGCTACTCAGCACCCCGTCCATTTAGAAAATCTCCCAAAACACCAAATTAGGGTTTTTGAGTCCTCCCAGGACACAACTATAATTGCAAACCCATCCCAGGTGATAGGAGCATCACAGGATGCTTCAGGGGAAGGAAGACAGTCTCAGCCACATCATTATCTCTCTGTCCTTCAGTAAATCAGATCTCGCCAGCCTCAGTTGCTTCTTCTGTAAAATGGGGGGAGGTGTAGCTGGAACGGCGCATTTTCCTTCCTGGTCCTCCTCCAGTTCTGATATTTTGGGGGGATCACAGCTCTTTCTCTTCTGCTTCTAACCTTCCTGCTGACTCCCAAGAGGGTCTTGAATTCACATTTCTGGGGGAGGCACTGCAGGCACACCACCCGCTGTTTCGAGACCCCTGGCTCTGACACTTTTGAACCTGAGCTCTTCTGCTGTGCAGTGTATGCCAAAGTCCTTCTGTCTAGGGGCGCCTGGGTGGCTCAGGCGGTTAAGTGTCTGCCTTTAGCTCAGGTCATGATCCCGGGGTCCTGGGATCAAGCCCCGCATTGGGTTACCCACTCAGCAGGACGTTTGCTTCTCCCTGTCCCTCTGTCCCTCCCCGTGTTTCTCTCACTCTCCCTCAAATAAATAAAATCTTTTTAAAAAAAGTTCTTCTGTCTAACCTGCAGGACCCCAAAGAGGAGCAGACCCTTGTCTGTTCTCCTCTATCTCTATCTGTACTAATGGGACTAGGGGATATTCTGAACTTCACCCTAGCCACACCAGGCTGGATGAAAGGACGTGGGTGGAAGGCACCAAAGTGCTTTCCTGCAGAGAGGCAAGGCGCCACCATTCTGGGAACTCCAGGGATTCCAGGGGAAGCATCTTCCCTGCATCTGTTGGTTGAGTTCAATCAATACACATGTTCTGAGTTTCTACTCTACACTATGTTCTGGGTGCTCTTGAGATACGATGAAGAGGAAATCATGGAGGGATTCATCCTCTGAGCAGAGCCTCTGTCCCTAACGGAAATCTGAGGGAAGGGACCAGGGCTCATGTTACAAGCCTTTATCCAGCACCTTCCACATGCAAAGTTCAGTCCAGTGTGAGGGGCTTGGCTCTGGAGTTGGAAGCATGGAGTCCAAACTCCTCACAAGCATCTGACCTCTGGCAAGTCACTTATCCTTTTAAAGTTTATCTCTTTATCTGTAGTGGGGGATGTACGTGGTTTGTACCTGCTAAGGTATTGTGAAAAAGAATGCAATGATGCACGTGAAGCGTTCGGTCCGACGTCTGGCGCATCGAGTCTGTGAGTCCTGCTTTAGGATATCTTCCTATGCTAGCCTTTAGCACACGACACAGTGTTCGATAGTCCAGCAAGACATCTGGTATGGTAGCAAACAGTGCAGAATAGGAGCATGTGATGTCCTGATGCTGGTGTGTCACACATCAGATGCCACGCCCACAGTACTTTCACATGACTTTTGTAGCTAGTGGGAAAACAATCGTGTACATAGGGGCAATTTTCCAAACTTCACCCCATGTACACATCACCTTTGAGATTTTTGCCATGAACATGAATTACTGTTCTGTTATTATGAATGCTTTTCTTTTTTTTTTTTTTTTTAAAGATTTTATTTATTTATTTGTCAGAGAGAGAGAGAGAGAGCACAAGCAGGGGGAGCGGCAGGCTGAGGGAGAAGCAGGCTCCCCGCTGAGCAAGGAGCCCGATGCAGGACTTGATCCCAGGACTCTGGGATCGTGACCTGAGCCGAAGGCAGACGCTTAAACCAAACTGACTGAGCCACCCAGGCGTCCCTATGAATGCTCTTCTTTATCCTAATTTATAAAATGATATTTTTGCACGAATAAATGTACCTGGTCTAAAACTCAAGAGATACAAAAGTTTGTATAGAAACAGTTAGGTTTCGGGGGGCAATGGGGGAAAAAAAGGAAAAAATTAGGTTTCTCTTCCATACCTGACTCCTGTCCCTAGTTTTCCTTTCTGGAGGCAACCCCACTACCGGCTTATTTCTAGAGCTATAAGCCTACAGGTAAGCATATGTTTGGATATTTAACACAAACGATGGTATATGATGCCACTGTTCTGCCCTTGAACGAAGTATATCCTGCCTATCATTCCATATCAGCTCACATCTCATTCTTTTTAATAGCTACTTGATAGCCTGTCACACAGATGTACCTTAATTTAGCCAACTCCCTGGACATAGGCTTTACAGCTGTTTCCCATTTTTTGCTACAACAAATAATGCTGCAGTGAATATTCTTGCAAGTAGCTATTTTTATGCCCTGTTGTATTTCCGCAAGATAAATTCCCACTACTCCTCCTGCCCCTCCCTGACCTTCTCTGAACACTCAGTGCTCTAGCAAGCGGCTCACCAAGACCCTGCTCCATAGCCCAGTTCTCACTGGCTGGTGAACGCCTGTACTGAGCTGGCTGCTACCTAGTTCAGTATCTCTCTGATTGTATTAGTTAGCTCTTGCTGCCTAACAAATTATCCTGAAACGTAGCAGCTTAAAACAGCAAACATTATCAGCCCAGAGTTTCTGTGGATCGGCATGGCTTTGCTGGGTCCTCCAGTTCAGGATCTTGCCCAGGCAGCTCTCAAGGTGCTTGCCAGGTTACAGTCATCTCAACCACCTATTGGGGTGGGGGTCTGCTTCCAAGAGCTCTCACATGAGCGTAGGCAGGATTCACTTCCTTGAGGAGGCCCCCCTTGTTTCCCGCCATCTGGACCTCCCCATAGGAGAGCTAGCTGGCTTCCACCAGAGCAGGCAAGCAAGACAGCCATAGAGGATGGGCAAGACAGAGGCCAGTCTTTTTGTAACCTAATCTCAGAAGTGCCATCCCATCACTTTTGCCATATTCTATGGGTTAGAAGCAAGTCACTAGGTCCAGCCCACACTCAGGACAGGATTCCACTGGGTATCAATACCAGGAGGTGGGGCCATTGGGGGCCACGTTGGAGGCTGCCTGATTACCACAGTGATTATCATCCCATCTGCAGGCTAGGAGCTTTATCTTATTTTTGGTCATCCTCCCAACACTGCAAGTGAAGTCTCTACTTTCTAAACGAGGACAGAGAGGCTCAGAGACTTGTGAAGTGACTTTCTTGTGATCACACAGCTCCGAGAGAGAACTGAAACCCAGATCTTCCTTTTTTTTTTAAACCCTGGGGTCGACCTTTGAGACTTTCTAAATCTAACCCAGCCCCATTCCAGCTGGAGGGCGAATCCTTTCCTCAGCTCCCCAAACACCCACAGCCCTATGTGCGCACATCCCAGGCTGTTTTGTGGGATGGGTAGTTCTTAGCGCCCAGGTACCCGCTGCCTGTGTGCCTTACGGAACCCCATCTGTCTCATTGGTGCCTCTCTCACGGGGCTTTGTGGGCTGGCGGGGTCTCAGGAAATGTGTGTTGGATCCGGCTGTTGTATGAGGCTAAATTAGAGGAAGTCAGATCCCCCCAGGGAGTGTCTGCATCTGAGCTTTGTCAGTGATTCTGGAATGAAAGGCTGTTTTAGAGCAAGCCAGAGAGATGTGGGGAGGCAGGAAGAGGGGCAGGGGGAGGAAGCACAGCCCACCTACAAAAATAGGAGGGCAGTTGTGCCTGTTCTGATTATGTCATTCTCTGGCCCCTTGTTGCTGCAGCAGGAAGTCAAAATCCTTAACGTGGCGTTCAAGGTCCTGCGCAGCTGACACAGCCTTCATCACCCACCACTCTCTGTCGGGCATCACAGGTCTGCATGCCTTGTTCCCCAAACATGCCAAGGGCTGTCCGCATCTCTAGGATACGGTTCTTTTCTTTTTTTTTTTAAGATTTTATTTATTCATTTGACAGAGAGAGAGAGAGAGAGAGAGGACAAACAGCGGGAGAAGCAGACTCCCTGCTGAGCTGGGAGCCCGACATGGGGCCATGGGGCCCAATCCCAGGACCTGGAGATCATGACCTGAGCCAAAGGCAGATGCCCAACCACCTGAGCCATCCAGGCACCCCTCTATGACACAGTTCTTGTATAAAATGGCGCCCATTTTAACCCTTTTGTCACTTGGCAAAATTTTTGTCATCCCTTGGTCCAGCTCAGATGTTGTCTGTTCCCTGCGGCAGAACTCATGGTTTCCTCAGGCCCCTTCTCCCCAATGGCTATGGGCTCCTTGGGGGCTCACTGTGGCCCCAGGGCTTCACTCAGTGCCCGCGGCAGGGCAGGTGCTCAAAAAATGAGGACTAGTGCAAGAGAGGGTGACCCTCAAGGGAATGGGAGCAGCAGAGACCTTGTCCTCTGCCCTCTGGTGACCCCAAATGAGAACAGAGGCCTGATGCCACTTGAGGTGGAAGGAGTACTTTGGTAATTAATTGCATCTCTCTCTGTCCGAGGTTTTTAGCCTGGCTCCGAGCATAGACTTTAGGAGGAATATTGAGGTGTGGATGGAGCATATTCATATGCAAGCATTTTTCTGGGACAGCATCCATGGCCTTCATTGGGTTTTTAAATGGGCCACCTCTGCTTTGGGGAGTGATGGATTTTATGTGGCTGAGAGGTCAGATTCCTCTGGGTCTGCTATTCAACCCACAAGTAGGGAATTAGTTTGGATTAGGCTGAGCTGCAGATAACAGTAAATCCCAAATAACCGTGAACCGTGGCTTCAGTGAGACACAAATTCAGGGGCAGCCCTCCGGTCTGCAACTCCTATTATTACCACAGATATCCCCATTGTCCAAGCCTCCCTGGGACACTGCCACCAGAATGGATGGTATCGCTGTCTT